GTGCCCCCGGGGGCGCGCAGGAGAGCACGTTCATATGACTCAAACCCGAACTGGTCGGCTGAAGTGCAGCCATCATTCGGCTATCTGAGGTCGGCAACTAGTTAAAAAGGTACCAAATTAAAAAGGTACCATTATAAAAATCTATTTAACAGGAAAATGTACTCACATCAAAAATGTGAATATGTTTTAGGCAGGCCTACCGTGTACCTAAAGCCAAAAAAGATTACAACCTCTGGTGAGTTTTTCTGCTATCCAGAGCACAGTTAGAGATAATATACAGCGCTGAGCGAACTATTGGCACTTTATAAATACTGTATAATAATAATAATAATAATAATTTACCCTCACTTCCTGTGCTGCTGACAACAATTTCAACAGACAGGAAAAAAAACTGCAACACGGTCAGGAATTAACATCTGACATGGGGTAGCCCTCACTTCCTGCATAGCTTTCTGCATAGCTCCCAACTACTACTCAGAGTTAAGAGGTATGCTTTACTGTCTGGTAATATGTTGTCAACAGGGCAGGAAGTAAGGGTACACTTCTCTGACAAAGAACTTGATAGCATTGAATACCTGACAGGGTTTCTAACGCTTCCATATTCAAAACTAAGAAAAAAATGTTTTGACTGCACACATTTTTTTATTTTTTGTTAAATAATTTAAAAAAGACAGAAAATTTAGAAAAAAAAAATGTATTTCTTTGTTTCTTTTATAAAATTTTGCAAAAAAATAATTGTTATTATATGTTATTATAATACTGCTACATTTCTTTGGTGAACATAACCCAAATTAATGTATATTATTTAGTCTATAGGAAAGCTATAGAGTCAACAAACTATGGTATATATCTGAAAATCGATCAATCGTGATATACTGACGGCTCATTTCTTGAGGCCCAAAAATGTCAGGACAGTACAGATATCCCCCAAATTACCCCTTTTTGGAAAGTAGACAGTCTGTGGTATTTAGTAAGAGGCATAGTGAGTTTTTTGAAGTTGTAATTTTTTGTCATAGTTTTTTGAAATATAAAGCAATGAAAAAAACATTCTGTTTTCACCATTTTTCAGCCGACGATCCCCACAGGATGGATCGGATCTACAGACTGAGCATAATGGATCGGAGTCCGATCCATTATGCACCCCAATCCTCAGATCCAATCCATCCTGCAGGGATCGTCAGCTTACTTTAAAACTTACCTTTTCGTGGAGCTCGTGGAGAGTTCAGTTAACCCTTTATAGGTTGCAAGCCGACGATCCTCGCAGGATGGATCGGATCTGCGGATTGGGGAGGATAATGGATTGGACTCCGATCCATTATGCTCAATCCGCAGATCTGATCCATCCTGCGGGGATCATTGGCTTGCTTTAATACTTACCTTTTCGTGGAGCGGGTCCGGTCTCACCCCGTGCAATAGGTGTCACCCGGTGCAGAGTGCACTACCTGCACCTGCCTAGGGATGCCCCTGTCTTTTAGCATGCACTTTCCACTAAGATGGCGCTTAGAACTCCAGTCACCAACTGTCCTGCACTTTCATCAGTCTCATGGCCCATTCTCATCTATTTGGTTAAAAATACATGCGGTCTTAACATACTGTGCAGATCTGAATGCATTTTCTTTGCATATTTAAAAGTAGGAAATGTCTCCTTTCTGTGATCTCAATTTCTTCAGACTTGTTCTTGCTTGTGTAGCCCTCTTCTTGGTTGTTATAATCTCTCCCAAACAGGATATTGCACTAAACGTGTAGGTAAATAAAACCAGAACCTTTGCTAAGTAGAAGAGTGGGTTTGATAATAAACTTCATAGCTCCTCCACCCAGCATAAGGCTTCTGTGAATGGAGGATACTCCCTTCCTGGGAAATTAACCAGTAATCTAATCAAAGTAATTGGGAGCAGTGGAACTACTGCAGCCAGTATATATATCATCAACCACAGGTATATAGATGCACAGCAGTATGGAAATAATACAAGCTTTATATAAGAAGATATTAATATACTGTAGTATAGTATATACTTCCAAGGTACAAAAAGGAATTATCAATAAAAGGCCCAACCAGAGTCCTGGTGGAATTGTGCACAAATATTGGGCTATATTTACTTTAGTTTTTAATAAAGATACCCCCAGATGAATGTTGCAGCAATATCCAGTTGCAGGGGCCCCTGAGAATGATCACAATGCATCATTCATCTTGTGTCCCTCTTGCATGTCAGAGACCTGGAGATAGAATCAATGGTGTTTGGGAAATACTCTATCCATTGTCCAACCAGCCTGGAATGAGGCTTCTTACCCACAGAAAACTGATGCAATGCTGGAACTCAGGGTCAGCCTATCTACTCTGCTTCTTCATCCTTACCAGCCTGCCATGTAACCAGACCTCTATCTATTTAATAGGCTGTCAGATGCCTAGCCTGGCTCTAGCCTTTGCTGCTTATCGAACCCTAGCTATAGAATCCCAGACCAGAAGGGACAAGATTAACTAGAATAACAGAGGCTGCATATAAACTCTATTGCAATAAACAGGTTTGCCCACTATGAACCAGCAAGATGACCACTACACATGCATACTGTGTCACAGACCAAACTATTTTGTGTAGTACATGTGAGATAACAACAATAGTACAGATACACTTCTATTACTAGTATTTAAATACTGTATATACATATATACACGCAGAAGCTATGGTCAACAATAGTTATCAAGAAACACTTTCCTAATAATCCCTGCTTCTGGCCTGGATTAGTAGCAGATCCCTCCTAATAGGACATAGATAGCTCTGTGACATTAGTAGCACAGCCACTTTCAAATACAACCAGTAGAAAGCAGAAGATCCCTACACTTGTAAGCTTGGTGATGTGTATGCTTAGCATTCCAAAAATGTGTGTCTTTATAGGAAAGAGTATAAATTATTGCATGCATTCCAATATCCTCCCCTTGAAGTCATTTTAGACTTTTTTTGAGCACCTGAAGTACTAGGCTTCAAGAATACACTTGGATGTCAATAAGAAAGTCATCATTGAGACTTCTCTGGTTTCAAATGTTACACCATCTCTTTTGCTATTTGTTTTCTTAACTTCTATCTGACTTGTTTTTTTCTTTAACCGTAGATGATATACAAATATACTGTATATTATCTTTAATCCAAGTAAAAAGCAGTATTAAACCCAAAAGCAAACATGTATTATATTGCAGCTTATGAAAAACTTAGATGTGATGGCTGCATTAGTTTTGTTTTTTAGACTTTCTTCTGGTATCTCCTGGTGATCCAGCCAGTAAGTCTGTTGTTTTTCAAAAGAGCAAACTCTCTTCTATATGTGTCAGTTTACAGGAATGAGACAAACCATTCAACACTGGCAGGTGTGCTTACAATGACCTTTTACTTATTTGTGTAAAACCTTTATCACAAAAGGAAAAATCTGTTGTAACTGAATATTAAAAGTGAGGTTGAGTTTGGCTTCACTTTGATAGTGTATTTAAATCTGCTAGTACATCTAACACACCTCTCCCCCCAGACTGGCAATGCTGCAGTCTGATGTGCCCCCTGTGCTCATTCATCCAGAGTGGGAGCCCTCTAATACAGGGGGTACAGTGGATATAAAAAGTCTACACACCCCTGTTAAAATGTCTGCTTTCTGTGATGTAAAAAAATGAGACAAAGATAAATCATTTCAGAACTTTTTCCACCTTTAATGTAACCTATAAAAACTGTACAACTCAGCTGAACAACAAACTTAAATCTTTTAGGTGGAGGGAAGTAAAATAAAACTAACACAGACCACCACATCTAATGATTGGTAAGATGAAATATATTACAGTTTTGATTTTGGATTTAAATTATATATAAACCCTCACCTTTTAAAACAACCAATACATTTTAAAATATAAATGAAAGGAAAAGTATTTGTGTATAGATATTAAAACATTCCTTTTCCCCCTTTTTAATTAGTGATCTCAGCTGCATAAGAACTAGGAGAGGAGAAGCAGCAGTACACTGATCTTCCCAGTGGGGGGAGGTGTCGGGACAAGTCTGATCATTGGAGGAGAGCAGGCTGAGTTCCAAGCACAGCTAGAAAACTGACCCTCCATGCTCTCATGCCGAGTGTGGTTAGTTATGAATAGGAATCAGAGGGACCGGCAAGAAGTCCAGGGATTTCACACAAAGGAAGATATACAAAATGAACGGGATACTTTTTCATACAAATACATGGTACAGCAGGCACATATCAGGAATATGAAATGTTTGGTTTACATATTCGTTACTACTGCTTTAAATATGCCTTGAATTTTTTTTTTTAATTTAGGTTTACTAGCTTTATACTGCGTTCACTTTTATGCTTAATAGCAACTTTTTCCAGCAAGCGGATACACACTTTCTTGGTTTATATTTACAGTTTACTTTTAGTGATCTTATATACATAGACAGATGTTCCTGAGTAACTTGATTTCTGTATAATTATTCCCTTGTTAACAAGGTGTGTAGCTATCCATGCAGTACTGATATGTCATGACTTGAAAAAAATATATATACATGGGGTAAATATATGTTTAGTATGTTTTGCTCTTTAATTATAACAGCAAATTTAGTAGTTGTATTATTAAATAAATATATACACAAAGTAGAAAAATTGTAACCATTTAGGCTTGGTTTACATCTGTACGGGTGGTGCCGCTGTGGGACCCGCACAAATACCTGCAGTTGCACCACCCACACAGAGGAATGCGGAACAAGCAGGAGGGTGCCATTAATTCTAATGGCACGCACCTTCACTCGAAATCGCAATCATACTGGGAACCTCAGTTCCCGTGTGGGCTGCGATTTCTGAAGAAGTGCAAGGACTTCTTCCCTGCGTGTCAGGAATGGATTCACCACTGGTGGTGGGACTCACCTGCCGTGTGGGCTGCAGTACCAGGGCTGGCCAGCGGGTGCTCTCAGCAGCCAGAAGCTCACTCCTGCAATCAAGCCATCTCTGGAGGCTGATTGCAGGAGGTGTATTTAAGGAATGGCTGGGCCTGCAGTCAGTGCCTTGGTGTCTTGTTCCCATGAGCCCCTGTACCTGCATCCTGTCTGCTTCCTGCCTGATCCTGACTTGCTTTGATCCTGACTCTGCACGAACTCTGCCTGTACCGACCTCGGCTATTCCTGACCACTCTTCCGCCTGCTCCTTGTACCTTGCCTGCCCGTTTGCTACCGACCCGGCCCGCCTGACTACGTTTGATGTTGTACATATTATTATCTGTTGGAGGTTTGGTTTGTTTGCACTGTGTTTAGCCTTGCACTGCGTTTATGTATTGTTTAGCCTTTAATAAATTGTATTGTTTTATACTGTACCTGAAGTCTGCGTTTCCCTGTGTCGGTCCACACATCTCTGTTCATACCCGGATCCTTGACACTGCGGGGTTTATTTACTAAAGCTGGAGAGTCCAAAATCAGACTCCCTTCTGCATAGAAACCAATCAGCTTCTAACCTTAGCTTGTTCAGTGAAGCTTTGGCAATGAAACCTGGAAGCTGATTGGTTTCTATGCAGAAGGGAGTCTGATTTTGGACTCTCCAGCTTTAGTAAATAAACCCCTGCGTGTCCTGGGGCACGGGAGTCCATTCAAATGAATGGGCTCTTGTGCACGTGCAAAATGCAGACCACAGGAACACGGATATGTGAACCAGGGGTAAATGCCCTGATCACCCATGACACTGGGAATTAGACAAGGGCAAATTCTAACTTTTACATTGCTACCAGAACAGGAATGGAGAGGAAATTTCCAATGGGGACACTTGTTCCTGTGATAACTGTCAAGAGGGTGTTTCCCTGACATTGAAAGTATTAATTGTCACTTCCTGTAAAGTGTATAGGACAGGAAGTAGCGGGAAATCTTCCTAATGGCAGATTGGATGGCCAAAAAAATTATATATAGTAATAATAATAATAGTTTTAACCCTTCTCTTCTCTATTCAAAAAAGAAACAAAAGGTTTGGGGTTTAGATAGGAGTTTAAGAAAAGCTGGAGAATTAAAAAAAAAAAATCTATGAAATAATGCTAACTTCCTAAACCTTTTATGAGATTTTATTGACTGGGTTTTCATATATTTTAACCTAAACCTACTATTAAGCTGAACCTTAACCTAAATCTAAACACAGTTTTAGGCACATAGACTCAGCACCAAAGTTTGTAAAAATAATTGTTACTTTATTAACATACCATGTCTAAAGTATATTCCATATTAAAAAATTGTAATATGCATTGCATATATAGTCATAGCATTAACCCTGTGATGCTGTGATTATATGTGCAATGCATATGTGCAATGCAATATATTTTAGACATGGTATGTTAATAACAATTGTTTTTACCCATTTTGGTACTGAGTCTATGTGCCTAAAAAGTCCATAAGCAATTTAGATATACTTTGATCCTGTAATCGGGATGTGGCACCACAATAATTTCTTGGTGTGACCTTCAGCCACACGCTGGTTGCCCAATATTCAACTTTCAAATTCTAAACACAGCACCAATAATTTGTAATGATCACTGTGAATCCATACTACCACAACAAAAACAAATGATCTGTGCACAATGTAAGTTGCTTACATAGCTTCCACCCCACGTCTACAATATGTTTGGGGGCCATACATTGGATGTAAAAGAAGTTCCTTTTACTGACACTGCTGTCTACACCAAGGAACGTGCTCACTCAGGTGCTAATAGTAACAGATGAAAAATGTAGGTTTTTAGCACAAGCAAATGCAATAGGTACATATTTTCCAAATGTGCCACCATCTGCAATACTTGGGTTGCCTTAACCCTCAGCCTGCCAAAAAGGCCCTCCTAACACTTAGATAGCAAAACAGCAGCTACAAATGCAAATGTGTTAAGCTGCTAATCACTTACATGTGGTTGTAGGTTCAACATATGTAAAGACTTGGAAGTGTCCTTTTAATTCCATGCTGTCAGGTGTTGTAACATAACAGCTTTGTTTTAGAATTCTTTTCCTGCTGGTAACCTTGTTACACCCCAGAGGTATCTGACAGTGTATAATTACCCCACCTGTTCACAATTCTTCCATCATTCCACTGTATCTTTTCTGTTCTCTGAGGATTTCCATTTACGAGTACCATAGATATGTTAGGTATCAATAAATATGCATTTTTATTAGACAGGAATGCTGTGCTACATTAACAACAGATCCTGTAATTGTTTTCTCAGATATAGACAGCATGTTTTTTCAGGTCAATATCAAATTGAATGATGCATGTACGGCTAATTACCATAAACAAACAAGTAGAAAGCTCTTGAATTGGATAAATAATCTTCATTTTGACAATTATTTTATTCAGATCTGGAGATCACTACAGCTGTACTGGACAAAGGGAATATGACTCAATGGGGGTTATTTAAAAAAAACTTCATGGTGCAAAATCTGGTGCAGCTCTGCATGGAAATCAATCAGCTTCCATGTTTTATTGTCAGAGCTTAAAAGAACAAGCTGAAGTTAGAAGCTGATTGGCTACAATAAACAGCTACACCAGATTCTGAGTGCTCCAATTTAATGCAGACCATACATGGGTCGAATTTCCAAACAAATTTTCTTTAGGAAATCGGACATTTCAGGTATTTTGTAATTCGATGGTGCCACCATTGATTTCGAAATTCAACCAACCAAGCCTTTAACCTCCCTAGCGGTATTCCCGAGTGTAGCTCGGGGTAAAATTTCAGTACCAAAAGCGGTAACCCTGAGCTATACTCGGGCTTACCATGCGGTGTTGCTCAGGGATTCCCTGCAGCGCTTACCTTGTCTTTCGCTCCCACGATGCGTCTCCTGCAGCGTCCCCGACCATCTCCTCTGGCCAATGCCGGCATCCGGCTTCCGTGTTCCGGTCCCTGCGAGCGTCGGGACGCACGGGACGTATAGCGGCAAATTTAAAAATTTTATAAACTGTCATTTTCTAATAAACGTATATGACATAGTAAAACATTACTGTTTCAAACCATTTCACATACATTTTTCCCTACTGCTTTGTCCTGTGCCCTGCCTGCATTTTGACTGTTCTTTCTGCCTGGAAACTTAGAAAAATCCATTGCGTCCAAAAAGCGTCGCTTTAGGTCAAAATCGGTTTTAGACCAGCTAGAGAACAGCGATTGTAAATCAGAACCACTTACAGAATTGAGTGATAATGATTCGTGGGAAAATTTGTCATCAGACACTGAAAACGATTCTGCGACTTTGCTCAGCGATGTGTGAACTTGGCGCTATATTTCAAATTTCAGTATTTTTGGTTTGATTATATTATTGAGTTAAATTTATTATTATATTATTTTTTATGATTATTTATTAAATTATAATTTATGATTTCGTGTTTCAAGTTTTATCCTACCCAGAATGTTTACTAGACTCTTGTTCGGACAGATTTCAGTGAGTTATTCCTAAAAATTACAGGCCTACAATAAAAAAAATACATATTTCCATGCAAAAAAAATGTACCGCTTTGAGCACAGAAATATGGACATAATCATACCGTCATGGAGGTTAATTTCATGTCATGTTGCTACAGAAAAGAATTTTCATGGCCAAGAATTTTCTTTTCTTTCCAGGTCAGCTCATGCTCATTTTAATTACATTTCTCACACATTTCTCCCATCACTGAATAGAAATTTGTTCATTTTTCAAAATATTTCCAACATGCCTGATCGCTCTCAAAAATCGGCTGTTGCTGTGACCCACTAATGGTGCGAAATTAGAACAAAAAATCTTAGAAAATATTTTTGAAAGAAAATTATTTCGGAATTCGACCTATGTATGGCTGGCTTTAGTTAATCTCCACCACTGAGTATGCGAAGTGACCTGTTCAGGACAAAGCATGACTTTACTATTGTCAGGTAATTTGTTACCAGGGTATGAATAAAGCCCCCTACTATAAGCAGATTATTTTTTTTTAGGTCAGCTAATTGAAAATCAAAATGATTAAAATAGGTGTTAAAAGGCTTGGTGAATGCACAAATAAAGTTTCATTAAAAAAAAGACCCATGTATATCACATACTAAACTGAAATAGTAACAAATAAGGCAAGAAAATAAGGTTGCAGTATAGACTAAAATATTTTCTTCTTTTTGGCTAACATTACAGCAATGCAGTAGTATGATAAAGCTGGCCTTACACCTGTAAAATTTTGTTTGAAAGTTTTAATTTTCAGAACGCCATTCAATTACCTAAGAGGCAATTCAAAAATTGGCTTCCACCAGAGCAAGCAGAAAGACTTTTTTTTCATATTTGCAGCCAGTCTATTCACCACTTCTAATGGATATTTTACTGCTGTGTTTTTTTTATAGCCTAAACAACCTGAGTCATTTGGTTTTCTGTTATTTGGTTTATTAAAATACCAATAGGGGGTAATTTACTAACACCGGAGAGTGCAAAATCTGGTACAGCTCTGCATAAAAACATCAGCCTCCAAGTTTGAGTGCCACAGCTTAATTGAACAAGCTTGAAGCTGATTGGCTACCATGCACAGCTGCACCAGATTTTGAGTGCACCAGTTTTGGTAAATCCCCCCATAGTTTATTGATCAAGAGGATAGATACATCACCCTTCCTCCTACTGCTAGCTCATACAAAGCTATGTGGATTTTCAACGATCCAAAATTAAGTTGGTCATACAGTGGGGTTGATTTATTAAAGGCAAATAGGCTGTGCACGGCAAGTGCACTCAAAGTGCACTTGGAAGAGCATTGCAAGTGCACTGAAAGAGCAGTGGGTCTAGATCTGAGCAAAACATGTAAGGAAAATAAAAAAAACAGCATTTTTGCTTGCACATGATTGGATGAAAAAAATCAGCAGAGCTTTGCCTCATTTCAGAGCTTCCCCTCGGATATATTATTATTATTATACAGTATTTATAAAGCGCCAATAGTTCGCTCAGCGCTGTACATTACAAAGGGGGACAGAACATGTGACAGAACAATAACAATACAATGCAAAACATGAGGGGATTGAGGGCCCTGCTCTTTGGAGCTTACAATCTAGGAGGGAGGGGATGGTGGCACAAGAGGAGATAGCTGTGGGGGATGGATTGGTAGGAAGAGTGGAGGAGGTCAGCAAGTTAGCAGGGGGTGGGGTAGGCTTCCCTGAAGAGATGGGTTTTCAGGGTGCGCCTAAAGGAGAGGAGAGTAGGTGATAATCTGATGGGTTGGGGCAGGGAGTTCCAGAGGATGGGTGACACCCTGGAGAAGTCCTGGAGACGGGCATGGGAGGAGGAGACCAGGGAACTAGAGAGAAGGAGGTCTTGTGAGGAGCGGAGTGTGCGTGCTGGGTGGTACTTGGATATTAGGTCAACTGCAACTGCA